TATTGGCTGTTGTGCTGATGTTATAAGGATGTTTGTAGGCGTTACACTGGAAAAGTGTTTTACCAATGTAGTTGTTCCTCTTGGGCTCCAGCACTTCAATGGTTTCCACGGTGGGCTCTGGAAAAACACCATTTAATAAACTACAATAATACAAAATCTCAACAACTCAAACCTGGTTATTGGGGAACAATCAGGTTAAGGATGGAAATGAGAGAATTCCTTTACTTCAACTGCAATAACTGCAATAAATAAATGTCAGTTTGTGTTGGACTTTGGATGGATTTGTGGATACTACCTGAGGTAATGATCCGTCTTCTCACAGCCAGAAACAAAGGTTTCCCCAACAAAACACTTTCTGTGCTTTTTGCCAGGTGAAACTCAAAATACTGCCTCTCCGTTGTTGCTTCGGTTTACAACACGTCTGTCCAAAATGTCACTTAATCAATTTATTCTACTTGACATTTTGTGTAATATTGTCATAATAAGCATACACAATTTTTAATTGTGGCCAAAAAAAGTGTTTTGTAACATCACTGTGACTTTTGACCACCAAATTTTAATCAGTTCATCCGAGTCCACGTGGACGTTTGCGCCAAATTTGAAGAAATTCCTTCCAGGCTTTATCTGAGGAATTGCATTCACTAGAATGGATTGTGAAGCCGATGTGGAAATATTTCAACTTCTATTATCTCTACTGGCCATCGAGGGCGAAGTCTATGAGAAGATGACTCTACTTCACTCTTGATTTATTACCTCAGTAAACATGAATTTATGGTCTCAATCTCTAGTTTCAAGTCTTCTTCAATACAGCATGATGTTCATTTAGTACCCAACCTCTACTTCTGCTTCCAAAAAAACAAGATTTTAACGACAAAAACCAAGATGCCGATGTCCAAAATGCTGAACTTAAGGCTTCAAAACGGTAGTCTACAAACCAATGTCTACCAGTCTATGCTTTTATTCCAATGTGCTCTAAATACAAATACTGATTTGGTGTGAAAATCATGAACCACGTGGTGCAGCAGACACGGTGCGGACACACACTCCTCCTACCCGCTGCAGCATCTCTCTCTAGGACTTCAGCGGGCGTCTCCTGCCTGGTATCCAGGTCATTCTTGGCTACATCAATATCCAGCATCTCCTTCAGCCTGTCAGTCACCTCAGACAGGCCCTCGTCACTGAAGTGGTAGTCACACACACACACCGGCCCGCTCCCTTTCACCGGACAGAAGACACGATGAGGGAGACAGAATTGCTCTGAAACAAAAGACAGTCAGAGGCACAGTGAGGAGAGCGGCTGAGATGGATTGAATTTAAATACCTGCCGAATATTACTGTGGTTATTAATAAAGACGCTAAAGTGAGACGAGGTAAATTAAGAAAAACGGTAGCCACTGCTGCCACAAGTGGCAATAACATGATAATGGCGTGTTACATTGTCCTTCAGTACCCAACAACCTGTTGTGTCAGTTGCTTTCAAGACATCGTCGACTGGACTGAAGGTGCATTCAGATACAGTATATTGTTCCACACTCACAGTTGTATTTTGATCCTGCATTGGTCACTTTACTCACAGCTCAGTTTGATTGAAATTTTCTTTTAAAAAATAATTTCTTTAAATAAATAAATTTCAAAAAACATCTCAGACAAAAGAAAAGAGTCACAAACAAATGACCCTTTACAGTGATCTGATCCAATAGGATAAAAACATCTCTGGGACATATTCTAGATGAAACATGCATAGAAATTACCCAGAGTTCATCAGTATTTCACCTACATTACTTTGCTCAACAAAAGATAGTGTCCACCTTGATTACAGAAACAAAAGGCAAAATAATACAAACAGTAAAGACGGTGATGACAGTGAGGTGTGTGATACGAAGCTGCAGCCAGCCATACCGGTGCGTGTCTGAGTCCTGTCTGATCGTGCATGGACAAGCACTGTGCTGGGTGAGGCAACGTGTTTACAGATTTCGTTTTTATGAAGAAGCCATGGAAAGTTTTATGACATGAGTCACCACAAGCTGCCGTTCGTACCAGACCGGACCAAACGAACACAGCAGCACCAAAACCCGGAGTGCATTGAAAGGATGCGTTTGATAAATGATTAAACCAACTTTGATGAGAGGATGTTACTTCTTCTTCATACGGTCTCACTATAACATCAGCTGAAAGTACATCGATACACTGGTTTTTTTTTCCACAGATTTTGGACATTCATCTCATCCGTAACTGAACACAACATTGCTTTTGTTTGGGCTTCACGAATGCAGCTGGATACAGAGGGCACATTCCAGCAGTCTCACTTACAGTTTATTGTTCCAATCGTTGAAACAGTCTTAACATTCTCTAAACTGTAAGTACATACGTCACAGCTGTAGTTGTTGACATGTTATTTTCAACCATGAAATTGTTCCTGAAATACAAATCTCTGTTAGGAACGTCAGTTTTGTCCAGCTGAATGCTGTTGTGTATCACACTGAGCTTTTTATACTCCCAGTTCAACTGTAGGTACAGGTTTACTGGGAGAAGTCAATACTGAACCATGCTGTAGTACACAGAATCTTTCATGTAAAAAAGCCAGACAAACCCTGGAAAAATAAAAAAACCAAACACCATGTCATAGATATTTATGGAACGTACATTTATGTCTGACAGCGTTTTATAATTGAATGGATCACTTTGCATGTGTTGGCTCAAATGATAAAATGATAATTTTTAGCATTTGTGAAGACTATGACAATATCAAACTACGTGCAAGCGGTTATTGTGCAAACTGAAGACAAATTGTACACATGTGTTTCAGCACGTGTGCAATTTGCTTGAATAAATAGGAAATTCTAATCTGTTGTCAACAACAAAGTAACTGAATGAGTTATTTCCGCAGCCTAGGAAAGCTCAATCAATATATGTGAACGTGCTCTCTCTCACCGCCAGAAACCAGAGAAGAGTAGAGCTGCTCTCTCTCTCTCACAGCCAGAAACCAGAGAAGAAGAGTAGAGCTGCTCTCTCTCTCTCACAGCCAGAAACCAGAGAAGAGTAGAGCTGCTCTCTCTCTCTCACAGCCAGAAACCAGAGAAGAAGAGTAGAGCTGCTCTCTCTCTCACAGCCAGAAACCAGAGAAGAAGAGTAGAGCTGCTCTCTCTCACAGCCAGAAACCAGAGAAGAGTGGAGCTGCTCTCTCTCACAGCCAGAAACCAGAGAAGAAGAGTGGAGCTGCTCTCTCTCACAGCCAGAAACCAGAGAAGAAGAGTGGAGCTGCTCTCTCTCACAGCCAGAAACCAGAGAAGAAGAGTGGAGCTGCTCCACAGACAATGAACAGGAGACTGATTTTGTTTTCTTTTTTTATTCTATTGTAGCGGTCTCAGTTGTGAAACAGAAAATGTTCCCATATACTCAGTTCCACACTTTATACTTGATGACATCACAAATTTGGGTTTTAGCACTCTTTGGGAGAGGTGTTCATGTTGACTAATATTTTAGGACTGTGTTGGACCATATGAACAACATGTATGAGTTTTAAAAAAGGTGTCAAGAAAAGTTGAGTTGAGCTCCCAGGAAGGCTGCCTTAAAAAGGAGGAATACATGTTCGATATATGAATCAGGCTTAAATAGACACAAAGCGTATAGTCAAAAGTTGACAGAATGTATTCCAAATAATCATATTAATGCAAGTGTGTAGTACGTAGAATTATGAAGTGATTTAACAAATGTAAAACTGATAATAATAATGTATGTGTATCTGAGTAAAGTGAAGTCTGTGTGTGTGTGGAAAGAGCTGATGTAAGCAGGGTGGGGGCCTTAAAGGCTGAGAACATAACAGATGTTGGAGTGTTGTCCGAGCACATACACGGGTGTAACGTCACACACACTCAGAGCATTGAGGAAGTGAGAGCACCCACACAGGGAAGTTAGGTAGTTTCCAGAACACACACACACATACAGAAAGATATATGTTGTTCGCAGCACATACACATAATCAATGATGTCATGATAATCATGTGCCGAGTTAGGAAGTGTTGGGGAGGGGGGGAGAGAGAGCCCAAAAGTGTTATGAAAAGAGAGACTTGCAAAGAGCAAGACGGGATTCATCGCGGGACGCCGACCAAGTGCTCCATGGAGAAACACTGGACCTCGTTCAACAGCAGCATCGGAGGACTTCGTCTCTGTTCACGGAAAGAACACACACAAAGGGTGTACTTCCCCTTTAACCTTCCCCATCAGGATGTACAGTACGTTTCTCTTTGTGTATCGCTAACTCAGCGCTGTGTTCAACTCTTACTGTACTGGGTTTTGTAAAGTCGGTTAATCATTTCCCCACAGTTGAGCTTCCAATGCATATCTTCCTATCGGCACACAAATCCTACCTCTTCACTTGGATTGGTTGACCCTAAACCTGCCCCCCACTCTGACCTCATCCTTCACCTTGACTTCCACTATCTGCACACAAAGGCTCATGACTGGCGGAGCACACCGGTGCATGTACCTCTCTGGTGTTTGTCCTCTTGTGACGTCAGCAGCTCCTCCAGCAGTATTTGAGCCCTCGTGGCCACCGTAGAGATCATGTCCCTCTTCAGCAGCTGTCCACAATAGAGATTTCACAATTTAAAAAAAGAAATGACGGAAAGCTTCTGATTTAAGCTCATATACAGAATCACAGCATTACCTTCTCGGCCAGTTTGGCCTTGGGTTTGTTGCTGTGCAGGTAAGCTCTGCTGTGGATAGCTCCTCTGACCGACACGCTGCCTCCACACCGCTGGACCACATCTGTTGACCTCCGCTCCTCCTGGCACACACAGGACATCATGGTTCTCTGTTATACATTGCACGTACCAAATCACTAGGCCTAGATTTATGAGTCAGAGCGCTAGATATAGTTTGTATTTATGAACGATGCTTTAAAATCAGCTTCTTCTGGTCCCCTACCATACTGTTTAAATACCCTTAAAAGGGACAGTTTATCCCAAAATCAGAAGTAAATATTTGGTGCTATAAATCAGTCTAGATAGTTTTGGTGTGAGCTGCCTAGTGTTGGAGGTATCGGCCGTAGAGATGTCTGCCTTCTCTCCAATATAATGGACTATAATATGGAATATAATAAACTACAGGCTCTCGTCTTGTTTCTGTTGTGAGTGTTCTCTTACCGGTGTGATGAGTAGCTGAGCTGTGTACGTCTGTCTCACATTCCTCTTCTACAGAAAGACATAATCACAGACACAATCACACACTTCCGTCTTCCACACCGTTAGATTCATCGTCATAGTTACATGCAGTTCTTTAAGGTTTAATAAATCATATTTAGGATTATTGTGAGGTGGTGTTTTAACCTCTCATCAGCCTGCTCAGGGCCCGTATTGATCAAGCGTCTCAGAATCACACAGTAAATATGTAAATACTCTGCTCTTCTAAAAAAAACAGTTAGATTGTAGAAATGATTAAGAGCACATCTAATTATTGTAAGAAATACTAAATCTATGAAATAAATAAATAAATCTTTTGTTTTAAAGTCAAACTGCTGGACCAAACTATCTCATACTTCACTGAGAAGTCCGTTCTCTGTGTTCATGCACTGGAAGATTCCACGAAGGCTTCCTAATTAACTGCGATGTTATAGATCCTAAAGCTAAGATTTAAGGTGAGTAAAGAGAAACTGAAATACAGTGGAGATCTCTGATAGTGATCCCATCTGTAGATGATTGTCATAATCAAATGTATTTTCTTCATTTCGCATACAGATAACCATCTAATTGATGTTTGTATATTTATTACATGAATATAAAGTAATGACATGGACAGCTTTACCATTACTGAATTGTATTGACTGTTTCTAATTACAGAACAGCTGTTTCAAATATTTTTTTAAAATTACTCTGCAAATTAAATGACTGTACTGTGTATAATCAGCATCCTCTAGTTCTGAAAAGTGAAGCCAAAGCTTCATGACTTAAACCTGTATTCTCTCTAGTGTCCAACAGGGGGCGACTCCTCTGGTTGTATAGAAGTCTATGAGAAAATGACTCTACTTTTCTCTTTATTATTACCTTAGTAAACATTGTAGACGAATATGGTAACTTCCTTTCAAAGGTTGCAAAAGAACAAGATGGCGACGGCCAAAATGCCGAACTCGAGGCTTCAAACAAGCAGTCCACAAACCGATGGGGGACGTCAGGAGGACTACCACTTCTTATACACAGTCTATGTGTATAATCCAAACCCACTATAACACAGTATGGTACATATTGTATATAAAATATGGCTTACTGTCCTTAGGCTATAGCCTAAAACAGTACTGTGATGTTGACAAATAGAGTAACGTCAGTAGCACTATTTCTGTAATGTCACCCAGTCTTACACTGTAACAAAATGAACATGTAACCTGAGATATCGTTCACTATACGTTACAACCAGCCAGAGGACATGATTGTGTAAGTCTGCTCTCACGCCGAACCCTTGTGCGCATTTTCATCTTTACAAGGACCGGCGAGCATGATCAAAGCTGAGGACTGGGCAACAATGTGAGGACAGCGGTTTCTGCAGGGACAGCATGTGTTCTCCTCTGTATCCTGCACATAAACCATCTTTTAATAAGCTCAATGTAATCAAGCGTTTCCAAAAATATCTTTCTTCTCACGAGGTATTTCGGCCTGAATATTGTCTCCTGGCTTCTCCACACAGCTTAGGACTCCTGTGGAGCTCTCCCACATTTTGGCAGAGATAGGAGTCATTTCCTATGTTAGGGAAGTTGATAAGAAATGCTTTTACTTCTAGTCCTAAAAAGGAGGACCAAAAGCACATCACTCTGAAACTTCTCAGCCATTTAGGAGAGATTTCCTTCTCTGAGACGCTTGATAAGTACCAGCTGTGCTCTTGTTGGCAGCATTACTGCCAAAGTGCCATTGAGCAAAGGTCCAAAGCAGACGTAAAGATTGAATTTCTGTTCTGTCAGTGTTGGTTAGATGTATACAACCTGTCCTCCTGCGAGCTCTGAGTCATCCGCCAGCTTTTTCCCATCGATCAGACAAACTCCGCCCTCCAGCTGGTGTGCCCACACTTTGAGCCCCTCCTGAAACGAAGCTTGGCCTGAGAACAGTTCCACTGAAGTTCCTGAAAATGAATTTACGTGACTGTGTGTGTTTGCGTGCCAACCTTTAGACATGTATCCATGTCCTCCGTATCGGTTCTATTGTCTGGCAGTGGCACCAACAGGTCCATGCTTAAACAACAGGACACCGTGATCCAGGAGGAACACACACCCGACTGGTACTTCCAGTCTGCAGGCTTGGCCACGCTCTGCAACAGCCAGTGGACATTGGGATGATTGATGACAAAACAACGCTGCGAGTCTGAGATCTTGAGCACTTTTTGAAGGCAATATGCAACAGCAACAGATTAAGTGTAACGACTGCAGATGGAAGGCCGTGGCTTTTGTGAAAGATGAATGAATGAAAATGAAAGATGGAAACCAACCTTGGAATCTTTAACGTCGAAGGTTCTGCAGAAGATTCTAAGACGAGAGGTTAAGGAACATCCACACGGGGTATCTGGTAGCTAACTGATCCAACGAGAAGGATGCGCAAAAGGATACTTCCTGGTTTTGGGGTTGACATGCAGCACGACACTGTCGGTGACGTCATCATCTGCAGGGTTCCACAGACGCTCCGAGGAGATCAGGTTCTCCACGGCAAAGACCAGCTGCACACAGACAGCTCACAAGGTTCAGAGACAGAGAATACAGGTACAAGCACATAAGCATCATGACTATTCATTGATTATTGCACATTCAGCTAAACAGAGCACTCCTTTCTCTTCCATGCTGCGCTACATTTCTGCTCATGTACAAACCTTTTGCATTAAATTGCAAGACTCAAAACAAGGTTCTTCTTCCCTGACGGCTAACAGGATAATATACAGTATATTACTCTTCTACTCTGACAGCAGCCACAACATTCAGTAAAGTGTTTCACAGGCTGACAGCTCCCCAAAAGGAAGGTCGAAACATCTTCATCGCCCGCTGCTGGCTGTCTGGCAGTTTAGAAAGCGCTTGATTTGATATGCAGCAGTGTGGACCAATTTCAAAAACAGTCCCCATAAGTCACTTAGACACGAAAACATCGCCTATGTTGAAAAATATTGAAGTTACCCTTTAGGATCTGTGGACTCCCAAAGCAGCTCAAGACACACCTGTTTAGATTTATTCACATTTTATGGTGACTTAATGTCATTTTTTAAAGTCTGTTCACTTGTTTTTCATTGTGAAGCACTTTGCGAAGTTCTGCAGTGGAAAGGTGCTTCATAAATGAACTTGTCCCAACAATATCATAAGCAAAGGGGAATCTGCCCCCTGATTGTAATGCTTTTCTGCCCCCTAGTGGCCAGAAATGGATTGATGCAGCTTTAATAATGTGTGCATCATGTACAATGTATTTATATGAATCTCACCTGTCGGAGTGTGGTTACTGTGTCCTTGGCGTCAGTGTCAGCGACGATGAACACTCCCAATACAGACAGGCCTCCGGGCAGCATCCGAGACACCTGTAAACAGTGGCAATGCAAACCGTTAGTAAAAACACCGTACCGGTTATCAGTTTTGCCGTCTCACTCCAATGAACACAACCTACACTGTTTATTACAAAACACATAGGTTGACATCATTACATGGAACTATAGATGTGTTTACAATAACTTCAAAGTTTTTCTGTCCTTGTTTCTTTAATCCATCATCTTTCATTGACTGTATGAGCTCCCTGTATAAAGCATGTCCCAGTTCTTATCATGCAGTACACTTTAACACATACTTAAATACTCAAGACCACATGAGTGTGCGTTGGGATAGAGCCGTGTCCCTCTCTGCTCACCTGTCGAGCATGCTCAGTCACCCAATCCTTGTCCAGAGAGTTTCCAGCCGCTGCAGCAGACTCCTTCCTTTGGGGCGTCCGAGTTGCCGTGACGACAAACTCCCTCTGGGTTGAGCTCTGAAATGTTTAGTCATCAATATCGATTGATGTGTCGTCACTCACACATACAGCAAATACTCTTTCCCATCATATCATGTCGTATTATGAGACCACACTCCAATACCTCCAACAAACCCTAGACTCTAACTGACAGACGTATTGTCCAGTTTTACATCCTGAACTTCTCAGGTGTATTGTGATGTTCTGTGTTACAGGTGAAGCTGTTTTTCAGTTACATTAGTACCAACATGTTACTGCAGTGGTAACTGTTACAGCTGGTCTGAAGCTATGCTCAGTACCACAGATAGATGTCTGTGTACAACCTTACCTGTCCAATTAGCAGGCCTGTGACTGGACCTGCTTGTTCACACTGTTTCGTCAGATATCCCTCCACGGCCTCTTCTACTATATAACTGCGACCCATTCTGCCTAAGGAAGGTGTGGAGAGAGATGGAGGGGTGATAGAAAATCAGAGTAATGTCTGCAGTGAGAAAGTGATGAGAAAGGAGAGACGTGGAAGAACAAAACACGACTAAACAAGTGAAGACTTGACGTAAGATTGACTTGTAACGTTATCTACAAAAAAACAAGTAATTAAACCACGTAAAACTTAAACTCAACGTTGGGGTTGGTTAATGGTTGTCAGCCCCCTAACTTTAGCTAACCGATATTAACTCACTGCGACTAGCTAACGTTATATAGAGCTTGTACAGCTTGAGTTTCAGGTGTCTAAATACGTGTCGTGGGGAAATACCTGACGGAAGCGAGACAGTGGGTAACTTATGAACCAGAAGGCAGGATACTTGTTGTTAATGTTGACAGCTTGCAGGGGTTCGTCAGCAGAGCAGCAAGGCTCAATTTACCAGCATGCGTTGCGCAATGACGTATTTCCGTCGCACAACGTCGTCGTGCGTCAATGATCAAGTTACATAACGAAAGACAAACAGCCAACGAAACATTCATTTCTTTTCACTATACAACTTGCAGTGACATTTAAACTTTAACTAACTAACTGCACATAATTAAAGTATTGTAGCTATTCACATTACACCAATGAAAACAATACAACTAGTAATATTTGTAACGTTACCTCTGTCTGTGGTGGGATCACACTGGCGCGGTAGAAGTGTTTATGGCTTCCCGTGTGACAGCTATCGTTTAAACTAAGGTTTTCAATTCATCATGAATTGTGTACTACAACAAAAAGCAGCGCTTTTTCTTTCAGTTAGTGCACATTCGCTATGACATAGTAGCAACAGGATTGTTAATGATTGCTTTATTTTGAAAGTTTCGAGTAGATATCCTGTTTTTGCACAAGCATGGCTTGACACGTTCGCAGTTCAGCGGACCGGGTTTGTGGACAGTAGAACGTTTCTATTTTACCAGAGTTTGGTATCCATTTACTGTTATTTTTTCAGTGGTGTAGTGTTAGGTGGAGATGGCGGCTGTCCTGCTTCAGGTTCTGGAGCGGACGGAGTTCAATAAACTCCCGAAAGCCGCCCAGAACAAGCTCGAGAAGTTTGTAACGGAGCTGCAAAATGCTAACGAGGAGCTCAGGACGCAGCACGAGCGGTTCAAAGCAGACAGCGGTAGGTAGCTACTACACAGGAGACAGTAGTTAACCGGTTAGCATGTGCGATATGATGGAAACCTCATGTCAAACTTCAGTGTACTGTGAAGCTTTCTTCTGCTACATCCGGCAAAAAATACAACGAATGCTGTGATTCATCCACATCGCTTACAAATGCCCGCTAACGTTAGCTACGATATTAATGCTAACTGTGGCGCAAGAGTTTTTAGAGGTTTCCTTTGAATCCATCATGTTCAATACCTGTGTATGAGTTCTGAATATAAAGTTATATATTAGTATATAGTAGTAACTACTGCTGATAAAAGATGTTACTGCTTTAAAAAGTATTCTTTGGCAGATGAGACATGGAATAAAACTAGTGTATTCTGTGTGGTGCAGTTACTATGTTGTTTGACATGTGTACTCATGTGTTGTGTATGCTGTCCTTCGTCCCTACAGAACAGCAGTACTTTGACATTGACAAGAGACTGGCGGAGAGTCAGGAACAGATCCTGTCTGCCACCAGAGACGTGCAGGCGCTCCAGGAGGAAAATAAGAAGCTCAGTGAGTCGTCATGCTCTTCCCTTTTACACACATTGTCTTCCCTTTGCTTAATTGAGGGGTCGGCGCTTCGACTGCACCGCTTTCACTTGTTGGACTCAACTTCCTGATTGTTTGAAATGTTTGCCTCCATGTTCCTGTGTGTGAGCGGTGTCTTCTCTATTGTGCAGATGAAGAGCTGAGCGCTCTGAAGGGAATAGAGGGAGAGACCCCTGAAGATAAACCCCCTCAACAGGTAGGCATGCCCATCCCCCTCCTAAGTCTGTGGTGTCAATGATGTCCTGCTACTGTTGCTTATGAGACACAACACCCAAAAATATAGGTCTGGTAATGAACTTTTTATAGTTTCAGAAACAGCTTCTGTTTGTTTTTGGATGAAATTTAAGCACATTTATTAATTCAATTAAATTACTTTTTTGATATCAGAAGGTGTGTAATATAGCAGAAGTACATTTTTGGTTGAAGAGAGAAGTACGCAGATTTTTGGTATGGTGTTGAAGGTAAGACATAGAATGCATGGTGTCAGTGGATTTTAAATATCTAAACCAGGGGTGTCAAACTCATTTTCACTCTGGGCCACATCAGCATCACAGTCGCCCTCAAAGGGCCGGTTGTAAATGTAAGACTGTGTAAATATAACTACTCCTAACATATTGGTAAATAACTTTCACTGCATTTGATTATTGTTTATTCAAGTGTAAAAATATTGTACATGCAGTTATATAAATGTAAAAATATATTTAAGCACATTTCTGTTATAACTTACGTAAATCCTTTTCATTTAGGGTTAAGAAACCCACATTACTCTATCAAAGATCAAACTATTAAAGAAAATAGCAAAGACAAATATCAAACACAAGTTATTACATTAACTTTGTTCAATGCTTAAAATCCTTTCAAGGGTGCGTTTGCACAATCCCACGTGAAGTATTTCATGTGTCGTAAGCCACGTTCAAAGTAGTCTTCAATGTACTCACAATACATTTCCATTTCAAGTGTAACCAGCCAAAGAGCTGCATCTATGACTGTGTGTTCAAGTATCTCATCATTTTGATTTTCTATCTCATACCTTCGACTTCTATCTCATAACTTCGACTTTCTATCTCATAACCTCGACTTTCTATCTCATAATTTCGACTATGGGGACATTTTTATTATCAAGTCTAACTTTAAATAATTATTTTTTTTATCTTTTTTTTTTTTTTTTGCTGGCGGATTTGCGGCCACATAAAATGACGTTGTGGGCCGGATTTGGCCCGCGGGCCTTGAGTTTGAGACCCCTGATCTAAACCAATCTGTCATGCGTGTCTTTTTTGTCTGAATAGTGAAGAGCAAATTTCTTCTTTTTTCCGCCCACAAAATCCTCTGCAGCAGTTAACTTCTGAAATGGTGAATGTTTTTAGCAGACTCTCTGACTGCTGGATTTACACATGTAGCTCTTACAAAGGACTCTGTCAGACTGCCATTTAAGCCAATTAAGCCTTTTCAGCACTTTATTTAGAGGTATTCAAACAACCAAATGTTTCAAATTTCCTTCAAACCCTGGATAGTTTTGTAGTTCAAATGCTGTGTACGTTTACAGCAAACCAAGGCCAAGTATGAGATCGAGGCCGAGAAGAGAGAGCTGGCGAGGCTGCTGGAGAAGAGAACGCAGGAGGTGGAAAACCTCACTGGTAAGATGTCAGCTTTACACACACACACATGCACACACACACACACACTTTTCTTTTTAGACATTTGGTTAGAATGGCAACAGTTATTCTTGTGTTTTTCACGTCAAGTCGTTTTTCTTCATACAACCCAATATCATGAATTTGCCTTAAGGGGCGTTACAATCTGTTCAGCACACGACACCATCTGTCCTTGTTTGTAGAGGACGTGAAGCGTCTGAATGAGAAGCTGGCAGAGACCAGCAAAGTGAAGACGGAGCTGCAGCTCAAACTGGACGGCATACAGTCATCTGAGGCTTCTGTGCAGGTACGCACTAGTTTCATGGAAAGCGCATCACGTCAGTGTTAGAGCTCATGTTGCAGTGCATTTAGCTGTAGTTTTTTCCAGTGACCACGAGTGCCTGCTTTTATTTTGGTACTTATATTGTTTTATTGTGGTTTTACTTTAATGGTACTCTATTTTCAGAATGTCCACTTACGGCATGTCTGTCTCACCACCAAATCAGTTGCTTAAAGGGATAGTTTAGATTTTTTGAAGTGTGGTTGTATGAGCTACTCTTCCATAGTCAGTGGACACTATATTTAGTATATTCTCACCTCTTTAAGTTGCTGTCAGATGGCTCTTTCAGACGGGGAACTGGAGCTGTTATATCCATCTATGCTGTCTTCAAAGCAACCAGGCTCCTTTGACAACAAGTCATTTTACCTGAACATGGGAGTTGCTGGTCTTTGTTTGTGTTATTGTGTGACTTTGGTGAATCCAAACTGAACCTTTTTAAAACACCAAAGTCACCCAAACTATCCCTTGAAGCAGTTGCAAAGACCATCTGAATTTAAATCCCAAATCATCCATTGGTCACAAATCTTCAGTACACCACTGAGTGTTTTTACTGGAACCACACATTAGTAGTTTAAAGCAGCAACCACAAGGCTCTAATTTTATAATGTGCTTTTTGTGATTGCACGTCGTAGCACCGAGAGAAGCGCATGGAGCAGGAGAAAGAGTTGCACGAGAAGAAGATCGAGTGGTTAACGGCAGAACTGAAGACCAAAACGGAAGAACTGTTGAACACCAACAGAGAGAAAGGCAAGGAGATACTGGAGCTTCAGGGTGGTCAGAAGAGCAGCAAGGAGCAGGTAACACGCACGCACACACACACACACACACACACACACACACACACACACAGAGGAAAAGCATAAACTGAGCAGATTGTGTCATATTCTACTCTCATATACCAATGCTTTCCCTACTGGCTTTCATCTGCTGTAATACTGAAACGTCTCTTTATGAATAAAGACATGAGGCATGGCGTCCTATCCACAGTGCTGATGTCTTTCTTAAGATAACTTTTCTCTTCAACAGGTGACCAGACTGGAAGGACAGCTGGCCTCTCTGACGCAAACCAGTGACAGCCAGGGTAAACGAGCCGAGGACCTCAACAGCAAACTGAAGCAGGTAATGAAAACACACCTCAGCTGAGAACTTCATGGAGAGACCAGTGGTAGGATTACTGTATTCCCTTCTTATTGGATTTGCAAGTCTGCATCTGTATTGGATGGTTGAGGGTCCTCGCATCGCTGTAAAGACCAACTAGGTTGACACCAAATATCATTCTCACATTTAACACTTTACAGTTTCTTTGTATATTTATCAGCTACTTTTCTAAATCCACATGAAACGCTCTGTATATCGGCATTAATTACATCTACAACACTTATTCAAAATGAAATTACGGTTATATAGAGCACACAAGGCCAAATATGACCGGTTGCTGACAAGCAGTGGAGCATTAAAGGGTATTTTTTAAACAGAGTCCGGGGCAAGTAAACTATCCTGGAATCAAGCGTGTAGTTGGGCGGCGTCAGAGGATGTGTGCGAAACTCCAACTGTGTGTTGAGAAGTTTGAGAGCGTTTACTTGCCGTGAATAAAGATTAAACATGACAATTAACTTCAGTTTTGTATTTGTATCGGGGAAAGTACAATTTGATCATTAACGTTGAACGCTGGATTGTCCTGCTGTTGGTACAGACGTGTGAACTAACCACAGACTCTTGAACGGTGAGCCGATAGAGGGGAAACACTGGAGGGGATATTTGGCATTAAAGAAAAATACATTTTTGGGGAAACGCTGTATGTACAGGACAAAAAAATAAGATGACATTAAAGTCTGCTCGTCCGGCCGTGTATACATATGTGGTGGTGTTCATTGTTTGTATGGTACGTATGTCTATCTAGGCTAAAGACGAGCAGAGTGCCATGGAGGAGAAATACCGCAATGAGCTCAATGCTCATGTCAAGTTGTCTTCCCTCTACAAGGTGAGAATCACTGCAGGCCACCTGGGATAACTATATTCTCTTTATTAATAACACAAGACATCTGCTCTACATTTCGCTGTCTGCTTGTTCCCGGCATGTCGTTGGTACACAATGTCTTTGTTCTCCCTGTAGGGGGCAGCAACAGACATGGAGACGAAGAATCAAGAGCTGAGCAGAGCAGTGGAGGAGCTCAGCAAGCTGGTTAAAGACACTGGGGAAGGTATCGCACCGGTTTTTACTTTTCTTCCAACACGCAAATAGTCTGCTACGGAACACTGGTATTGACTTAATCTGTGCCACCCTCACCATTGTTATCTGTGTTTGGCCTCCTGATAATCCTGATTGTATGACCCGAATGTATTGAACAGCGTAGGCGAAGAAGCGGTCAAAAGCCACCTAGAGCCCTGTTTAACATGTGACGTATTAATGGTGACCTGTGTGATCGATGACGCTGTCCGTCTTTGCAGCCAATAAGACCCTCGAAAAGAAGGCGTCGGATGGGGCGGAGCTAAAGATGCAGCTTGAGGTGGAGCTTAGAGAGAAGATCAAGAAAATGGAGCAGGAGCTAGAGAACGCCACGGTGAAGGCTTCTGGCAAACACTGCTGTAAGAACACGCGTGTTATTTTATGTCTAACTTTTATAACGAGATGAATGTGTTTGTCATGGTGCAAAGGGCCATCTGCACAGTGCTGTGTGTGTACACATGTGCATTATGTGTGTGTGTGTGTTTGTGTGTGTGTGTTCTGCTCCAGGTGCGCCGTCTCTGACCGAGGAGCAGTTGGACACCATGTGTCCATCGGCAGCAGCCATCGCGGCCATTGTGAAGCCCAGCATGAAGTTCTTTGATGTGAGTTTCAGAGGACACTCCGGGGCTGGATGACATGGTTGAACTCATATCAGTAGTATATCACACGGCTGCATAATAACCAATAAAGTATTCAGATTGATATTTACTTGCAAGGACTTGTGTTCCACGGTTTTACACCGTGTTAGATCAAACCTCTTAACACATTTAAAACATCAATAAGTCATCATAGTGCCTAACTGTGGCTCTAAAGCTTTGAGCAGCACTCAAACTGACTGAATCCTTGTGCCTCACTTGAGACATTTTGGGCTTGTTTAATTTTTTGATAATTTTCACTCAATGCATATGGCATAAACTTTGGCAATGGTGTGAGGGTTGTTGTTTTCTTCTTCTTTTTTTAAATTTATTTTGTTCAACCTCAGCTCCTATAATAAACTGTTTCGCCAAAATACAGACACTCAGAACCCCAAGGACAAAAATGTCCCGATTAGAAAGTCATTAAAACCACAATTTTTGATCCCTCAGCCAAAAAAATATGAATTACTTATTATTGTATTACTATTTTCCAGCATGTAAATACACGTTTGTTTCCTGGTTTCCACCAGAGACGTGGCTGCTGTATTATGTGGTTGATGCTAATCATTGACACATCCCAGACTGGATATCATATCGTATATGACATCCTCATGGCATTTAGTACAGAGAAAATAATTACGCTATTATATTATTATCCACAGAAGTGTAGACTTTGGCTTTCTGCAACCTGTGCGTTTTTATGATGACGGTTAAGTAACTGTAGTCTACCTCACTATGGTTTTATATTTGTTGTAGCGAGTATTAACTCCTCCTCTGCGTTTCAGCTGTATAATGCGTATGCGGAGTGTCAGACGCAGCTTCAGCTCGAGATGCAGGAGACCAGGAGAGTGAGCCGAGTTCTGGACGAGATCGTCCTGGAGATAGAGTCCAAGGCGCCTGTCCTGAAGCGTCAGAGAGAGGAGTACGAGAGCATGCAGAGATCCATGGCCTCCCTGTGCAACAAGCTGGAACAGGCTCGAACGGTGGGCGACACGTCCACGCTCCTGCTGTTTTTGTCAAACTTTAAATTCTAATGTGTTATCAAGTGCGTTTATTCACCTTCTGACTACATATTCTGTTGAGTTAAACCTGTGTTTTGTGTACTTTTTGTCATTAGGAGATCTACAGTTTGCAGAAAGAGAAAGAGGAGGCCAAGCAGCGCTGTGATAGCATGGAGAGAGACAAACTGAGGACAGAGAGACATCTAGAGGATACATCTACACAGGTACACTCACACACTCTCACACACACACACACACACACACCAAGCATTACATGCTTTCAAATAAATCTAAATGCATCTGTTTCTGGTGATCTGTTTTCTAACTCAATCTAAAAATAATTCAAAAAGCGTTGCCAGTATACTAACTGTGAAAAGCAGATTAAAATACATTTCTAGCCAAAAGAAAGACATGGCAGTAATGTTACATAACTTGCTAACACATACAATATGTACCTCGTGTTTAGAGTGTATGGAGAAATTAAAAGTCGCTTTAGGACTTTGGCCAGTGGTGCACTTCAGCCTCTTGTGGTCGAAAAGAGAATAACAACAACAAACACTGGGGGGAAAAAAAGAAATTCACCTGCAACTCACAGAAGAAAAAAATAAGCAACTAACCTGCTTCTCGGGGCTTCGGTAGTTCTGATCACTTTTAATAAAAAGATTTTTCAAGTATGTGAACAGTGGATTGATAAAATATTCTCCCTCCATCCATCCATTTTCCTCCGCTTATCCGGGGTCGGGTCGCGGTGGCAGCAGGCCAAGCAGGCTGACCCAGACCTCCCTCTCACCGGCAACATGTTCCAGCTCATTCTGGGGGATCCCGAGGCGTTCCCAGGCCAGCTGGGAGATGTAATCTCTCCAGCGTGTTCTGGGTCTTCCCCGGGGTCTCTTCCCAGTTGGACGTGCCTGGAAAACCTCTAGTGGGAGGCGTCCAGGAGGCATCCTAATTAGATCCCCGAACCACCTCAGCTGAAATATTCTAAAATATTCTCAGGGGATAAAAATCTAGAATAAAAGGAGATCCCTGCTGATTGGTACAGATTACTTCATTCATAAATGTGTCTCTTGTCCAGGTGTGTGCTCTTCTGGTGGAGCTGGAGGAAGCCAGAGGTAATCAGGTGACCAGGGAGGACGGCAGCTCCGCCAATATTTCCAGTACCTCTGAGGTCATCGGTCCGCGCCAGCTGTCCTTCCGCAGTGTGGAGGAGCTGCAGAGGCAGAACCAAAGCCTGCTGAGACGGCTGAGGGAGCTGGAGGAGGAGAAGGACAGACGGCAGAGCCAAGTGACATCCGCACGGTAATAAGTGCTGTAACTGAATTCTTCATTTTTTCACAAGTGCCTCTGCTGATGCAACAACTGACTCCGCTAGTGGCAGTCGCTTTCCCGCAAAACAACGTACAAATGATGTAAAAGTCTCTTCTGGGGCTGACACAAGCGCCGCAAGCTTGCAGGTACATGAAGTAAGATGAAGTGCGTAGGCAATTAAAATTAGTTTTCAAATGTTGTAGCTTTTTCTAAGAACTATGACCTTACATCAGTCTATATCTAAGAATGTTATAGATGTAATAAGAGTGCCTCAGAAAAATTGAAGAATTTCACCCAAAGACACTCTCCCGGGCATAACTCACGGCCCAACGACTGAAACGGTTGTTGAATACTTCGGCCCCTACGTCCGGTTAACTGTTGTGATGAGTCAGCAGTCAATGGCGGAATCAAACCGCCAATAAAAGTGTGAATCACTGCAACCAAGAGAGGTCCTCCAGCATACGTTCATAAATGAGCACAAAAACATTTTGGCTGATGGGTCCAGCAGTATGCCAGATTAGCCGTGGACAGACGGACAAAGAGATGCACGCATACTCACGCAGATGACTGAATACATACCTTCCTGGCAGTGATAATAAGATAATACATTTAGGACACACAGTAAATCACAATAACGTCACAGCACTTAATCAATTCAAAATAATATGACAGATTTAATAACAGTCAATAAGCCAACCAACACATCAGCCGTCAGCCCGGTATCTTTAACTGTAATTATAATTAAACAGGTAAAAGGTATCCGAAGTGAGAAAGGAAATACACATTCTGGGGGGGGGGAAGCTGTGTTTCCATCCTGGACAAAATTGCGTATGTGTTGATGTTCAGTTATATAAACACGAGTGATATGGGATCCATGGATCAGGCGGAAAGCATCGTTGGTGAGCAGCGGAGCTAAACATGAGCGCCGTCTCTGTGGTTCCTCCTCAGTGTGTCAGAGTTGGAGGCCAGCGTGGACAAGCTTCAGAAGGAGGTGGAGCAGCTGAGGGAGCAGAGGAACCAGCAGAAGCAACTGGCCGACTCCAGCGCCCGGCAGAGAGACATGTACAAGGCCCTGCTGACGCAGAGCACCGGCTTCAGTCTGCCTCCTCAAGGTGAGATGAAAAAACTCCAAATACGCCTTTATGGGGATGTCTTTTTTTAACATGTAATGGCGTTTATAGCATAAAGTTTTCACGTGTGTCCGCAGGTTCCGAGTCTCCGTCCCACCCTGCACATGTTAGACTGTCGGTGCCGGCTACTCGCTCTGCTCCTCAGAGAGCCATCGCTGCCGAGTCAGCACAGACCACTCAGGCTAAAGCTGCATTAAAACAGGTATGAACACCTGCACATGCTCACTTGAATCTGCATATCTTCATTGGGTGAAAATCCTAAATGTTTAAATCCAGTAGCTGTTCTGACTGGATGCGTTTGTGTCCGTGCCCCTCCAGCTGAGCGACTCCTTCACTCTGTACAAGAAGGAGAAGTCGGAGAACGACCGGATGTTGAACGAAACGAACGACCAGCTGCAGAGGCAGCTGACGGATCTCAACTCCAGCCACGCCAAGCTCACCTCGCAGTTCGAGTTCAGCAGCAAGAGGTTTGCTCTGTCCAGCACTGCTGCCGCACCCCCCGCCTCACGGTTCAGCTCTTGGAGGTTTTCCTTTTAACGCAGCGTGTTTGTCTTTTGTGTCTCCGTCAGGTACGAGATGCTCCAGGACACGGTGTCCGCCTACCGCAGAGAGATCTCCGCCCTGCAGGACAGGAACCAAAAGATGGCTGCAACGGCCCAACGACACGAGCACATCATCCACACGATGAGCCAGGACCTGCGGCAGGCCAGCGAGAAGCTGGCGCTGGAAGAGGTGAGGAGGAAGAGAAGCTTTATCTTAAGGGTACTTATGATGCTGTGGGACAGGGTCACACTTTGACCAAAGCTGGATTAAAGATAGAGGAAATCAGATCACCGTGTTATTCTTTGTCCCTCTGGTTTTATGTTCATGACATATTCATTATGGACTGCATTGGTGTTGGACAGATTGATTAGTCAAAGTAGCTTTTTCAGGTTTAAAATAAACTTTTGGTCTTTCTTTTGTAGCTTCAGAACGTTTTTAGCCTTAAATTGCAAATATCCTTAACTGGAAGTACACTACGAACACCTAGACTAATGATTCCCAGAGAATGTTACTCTGTGGATATTTTACTGTTGTGAGGAAATTAGAGATGCACCGAGTGATCGTTCACGGCCGATCGGTCTCAGATGTACTGGTCCAATTTACAGTTCATATCACGCGCATCAGCACAGGCATCAACTGACTATTGTCACAACCACACATTGTTGTCAACTGTCTCGCTAGATTTAGAGACTTTTCAACTCTCTTCGCAATTACATTTCTAAAAAGCGAGTGGAGACGAGGGGGAAAAAAAGCATGAAATATATTATATTATAATTCATTCCCAATACAGTCTTGCAACTAGATACTGATTCATAAAGTTATATATAAATAAGTAAATAAATAGATAATAAGATAATACATCTATAAAAGGCCTACGTACACAGTGTAGAATGATATCTTCTCTGAGTCTTCCCTGATCTACATGAAAATACAGATTCATTAATTAAAATGTTTGTTTATGTCACTTATATTTCTTACAAAGAAAGAAAATCCGAATCAGCAGGTCAGACTTTTTTACAAGAAAATTGCAATCTGTGCATCTCTACAGGAAATGCTGACTCACTTGTAGAATTTTCACTCCAAGTTAAACATTATTCTTCCATACATGAATACCTATTCGTTAAACATCAGGAGATGCACACAGTTACTCGAGTGGACCAGAAATAGGACATGAGATATTCCTTCTAGCAGATGATCCCATGAGAGCTTGGCCAATCAGCAGTTTTCTTTTGTTGTAAAGTCTGACTAAACAGGTGAACTGTTTCACACCTCTTGTAGGGAACACCCACCACTCAAAGTGATGATCTCTCCCTCTGGTCACATCCATTCATAACCACCAGCGCTCTCTCGGTGTAAACTTGTTTATTTCCCCTCTGTGTCTGCAGGTGCGCGTCGAGAACTTGACCAAAGAGAGAGACATGTTGAGACGAGCAGAGAGTCGACTCAGTCGAGAGAAGGAAGCCGTGCTTGCTGAGCAACGGAACCAGAACCTGCTGCTCACCAACCTCAAGTCCATACAGGTACCGTGTCATGCACCGGTGTGGACTGTGTGACTTAGATTTAACACAATCATCGGTGACGGTCGTTCCACTCTATTCTGTTACCAAACATCCCGGTGAGCTCCCTGATTTGAACCAGTTTCCTCTCCTCTCTCACTCTGGTCCAGTTGACCATGGAGCGGACAGAGTCACAGACCCGCCAGCGGCTGAACGACAAGATCGAGAGTCTGGAGGCAGAAGTGGCTTCAATGAAGACCAGGCTGGACCAGGAAGTGGCACAGAGACACGCCCTTGGGCGCACCATGGATGTACGTAGAATATTTACATGATTTACATGATCTCTGCACAAACACTACCAATCAAAAATGTTTCATCTCCTGCCACAAAACTAAATAAAATGTAAAAAAAATAAATAAAGACTTATTTAAAAGACTTAAACTTAAAACAATTTTTCAAATTATTATTATTTTAATTGTTGCATATATACATGAAATTGGTCCTCTGCATTTAACCCCTCCATAGCATTTTAGGAGCAGTGGGCTGCTGTAAAATGCCCAGAGAGTAACTTGGGGTTCAGTGTCTTGCTCAAGGTGCCGGGATCAAACCACCAACCTTGTGGTGAAAGGACAACCCGCGCTACCCACCAAGCCACAGCTGCCCTACAAAAACTTGATTGCGTCCAGTTGGATGTCTTCAAAGGACTAGTCTCGTATGTTTTACAGCTCTTTCATGCTTTAGGATGCAGGAAGTCCTCTTTACAAATAGATGTTGTTTTGTATAAAGGGTTTGTTTTGTACAACACACTGACGACTGAGAGGGCTGAAAGAGGCAAAGACCAACAGTTGAATAAGAAGAGAAGACATCAGCAGTCGTTGGTAAAAGAAACGGGAAGCTTAGCATCAATGTGTGCGGAATAAACGGGAACAACTTCCTGTTTCAGTGTCAAGAGTTTCACAATAACGGCAGCCTAGAACAAGCTGGAATTAAAAGGCAACATGTTGCTTTAGCAAAGCTCTTCTTCAAACTGCACAATAGAAATAGGTTAGCTCAGGGTCAGCACTATTTCAGAAGTGAAAAAAACATCTAGTGTCTGAATAATACAGTTTAAAAAAAATCTCTGTTGAACATGTTATTTAGGAAAAAGAAGAAAAACTTTAATACAACAGCTAATTCCAAACTTTTGAACGGTGATGCTTTCTCTTAAATAAGTGTTGTTGAACACAGCATGTAAACTTATCTTGTTGCTATCACCTCCTCGGCAGGCCCAGTTGTTGGAAGCGAAGAAACAGCTGGAGACCCAGAACACCTTGCAGCAGAAGACCAGGGAGCTGCTGCGCGGTGCTGAACAGCAGGTGGCAGCACTGAAAGCCCAGCTGGCTTCCGCGTCATCCTCTGAGGCCGTTGCTGCCTCCGGCAACACCACCGCCCCCCCGGCCTCCAGAGCTGCAGCCCTCAGAGGGCCACTCCGAGGTAAATGGCATCACTCAGTAATGAAGGGCCGAGGACCGTGTTTGTTGTCTGTGGACGGGTAACAGGAACTCGTGCAATCACTGGCACCGTGAGTTTTAACAGGTCTTTTTTCTTTTTTTGTCTCTGCTTACCTTCAGTACGCTCTCCAGTGCCGGCAGCCTCCCAGCAGCTCAGCCAATCGGAGCATGAGCTTGCAGAGGTGAAAAGCCTCCTGCGTACTGCCGAGGAACAAAAGGGAGAACTGGCGGAGCAGCTGAAGAACGCCAACGCTACTGTGGAGCAGTACAGGGCTGTGGTACTGAGTCTGGAAGACAGTCTGAAGAAAGAAAAGGAGGTATGGCTCTTTGACTCGTTCTCCTTAGTAATTCAACAACACTCGGTTGTTCTCCGCCGTCTTCTTTGTCTTCTCCTACTCTCTTTCTATACTGCTCACGCATGTATCCATCCTTTAGTCCCGCTGCCCTCTGGAGCGCCGGCTGAAGGAGTCTGAGGAGGTGCAGAAGCAGCTGGAGAAGAGGATTTTAGAGGGGGAGAAAATGAAGCAGCAGGAGCGAGAAGAGAGGAGGAAGGCCGTGGACGCAGTGGAAAAACAAGTAAGCCAAGCGATGATAACAATATTTGAACATGTGTAATGTGAGGCGTCGCTCATAGGGATGAACATACAGAAAATGGTCACCCGGGGCTGCAGCTCCTTCTCGGCTTTACCGAGCAGCTAAAGAGACTGATATGTTTCTCAGGAGCTAGTAGAGAGTAGGGGTGGGAATCACCAGAGATCCCGCGATACGATACTTAGGTCACGATACTTAGGTCACAATACGATATTATCACAATACTGCGATATTCTGAGTATTGTGATAACATAGGCCTATATTGCGATTTATTACTTTTTTCAACTTCAAATTATATCCCCAAAGGAAAACTGTGTCAACATGTTTTATCTAATAAGATAAAGTTTTCAGTCTGTTCATCTCACTTCAATCATTTTTATTGCAGCAAAATAGGATTGTCAAGCAGACAGACCAACAATGTCATAAATGTTGCATGAACCTGACAAACTGAACTGTTTGTATTACTACATAGTCCAACTTAACTAAATGCAAATGTGTGGACTCAGTATATGAACTATAACTTATATAAGTAGGATATAAGAGTTATATAATTCAGTATAACTTGCGATGCGTGGACGTTGAGGGCAGAGAGACAGTTATGCGCTGCACTCTCCCCATGAGCCTGGCTACTGTTGGCAGATTTAACCCCGTTGTGAGGCCAGATGTCTCTATCTTTGTTTTGACCAACTTCCTACCAATCACGCTGACCCGGGACCTTTGCTGACCTCACCAGAAAACAACTGGTGAGGTCTTGTTTTTTTTTTGGGTTTTTTTAAATAGTTTATATAATAAAAGATCGATACTTGGCGTCCGTGTATCGATACAATATCGCCACGCAAAATATCGCGATACTATGCTGTATCGATTTTTTTCCCCACCCCTAGTCGAGAGTGAATACTGGACTTCAACTTGCCAGTTGTCCACAAACTGTATCTGTGTATATGCTTGCAATAAGGAAACAGAATAGCAGTTCTGAAATGCCAAACCAATGAGGCAATTTAGAAACTGTGTCACTATTACAGGGTTTGTCCACAAGACAGCACTCTGTAAAATGTCCCGTGCAGTATTTATCTTGGTCACAATTTAAGAAAAGAAATATAGGGGAAAGAACACCCCAACCTCTAGGACACGGGGGACTGAACAATGAATCAATTAAATGGGGGGTGGGGAATCCTGATTATATGATTAAAATAACTGTTATCCGCCTCTTTGGCATGACTCCATTCATCTGTATGACACAGGAGGAATAGTTTAACTTACTATAAATCTCTTGATAAGTCAGTCAAAGAGATCGTATGACTATTATTCGACCTTTCAGTGTCTGCGTTTACTGTCCCCGCTGTGTTGTCCAGGTGTGTGAGCTGCAGCGCAGTCTGAAGTCCAGCCAGGCAGAGCAGCAGGAGGCGCTGGAGAGAGCTGCTGCTGCTGTCACACTGGAGCAGAAGGCCATACAGGACAGCCTGCTGCAGGTGCATTAACACACACACACATTCATGCTGGTTATTAACCTCAGTCAAGACCACTTAGCTTATATATCGTGACCACATCACACTCTACATGAAGCCGTGTCCCGTCCGTCCTCCTCCTCATAGACCAAGCTAGCTGGAGAGGCGCAGGCCAAGTACGAGCGGGAGCTCATGCTTCATGCCGCGGACGTGGAGGCCCTCCAGGAGCTGAAGAAAAGATTACAGCAAGACGCAGCACGTAGGAGGGAGTTGGAGGAGCAGCTGAACAAGACCTTGTCCGTCCTGCAGGAGAAAACCGTGGTGTTGAACACGGCGGAGCGACAGATGAAGGTGGGACGACGAGTGTTTGTCAAGCATGTCTAGAAAAATGATCAATAACTCAAATGATCACAAAGTGTGTCGCAAAAGCCTCCTGAATGTTTGTGATTGGTCATAACTCTCTCCTTCAGGAGGACGTGACCAATAAGACCCGTCGCTGTGTGGAGCTGGGGAAGCAGAACGCTCTCCTGCACCAACAGATGGATGAAATGGCCTCCAGGAGCCGCCAGCAGCAAAACCAGCAGCAGCAGCTGGACCTGTCATTCAGTGAGGAGGGGAAGACCACTGAGCAGATACTAGAAATACTCGGGTAATAAAGCAACACCAAAGGTGGCTGTGTGTTAGCCTCGAGCGCACAATCTGTCATTTTCTGCCGCTACTGGGTGTCTCCATCAAAACGATAACCAAGGACGGCGTTTTGTGTCATCTTGATAAAGCGGAGGGGTCATGGGATTCCTTCAGTGTTCGTCATTCAGGAGTTGTTGTTTTTTTTTTTACCACAGGGGTGTCTCCTCTCTGAAACAAGCAGACCTGCTGATTAACTAAAACAACACTGAATGAAGCAGTTTCATGTTCAAAATCGTTGTTTCTTCGACGTTGTGTGGAGGACACAGGACGTCCCAGAGGGACTGAGAGCTGAACATTTGCTCAGCTAGTTTCTCTGATGACTTAAATCCTTCATTGGGTTGAAATATATAGTTCAAAACCACCAAGATCTAAAATGTATATTGCAAAAATGTGTCTTGAAACTGGATAAAAAGTTAATTCGTGACAGCTTCTGCATGTACAAAAGGGGATATGACGGCAATTAAAATACAGATTTCTCAGGTTTGAAAATTGGGATAATTTAAGTACACAACTCAACAAATTATAGAACATAGATCGAGTCAGTTTTAGAGAAAAGTTGCATATTATACCTTAAATACTTGAGAGAAGGGCTTAAGGTTGTTGACATAAACAGTTTTTTGTAGAAATGGAAGGCGGATTAAACCCGTTCTCTCTCTTAACAAGTTTCAGGTTGAGTTTGAAATGTGTGTGTGTGTGTTGTAGGTTTGTGCGGCGTGAGAAAGACATCGCCCTGGCTCAGTGTGAGGCGTCCGACACAGAAGCCCTTCGCTACAGACAGCGAGTGGAGCACCAAGACAGAGAACTGAAGGAGCTGCAGGAAGCCCTGAATGCAGAGAGGGAGAAGATGCAGGTAGGAAACGAAGCAATGGAGGGGTGGAAGACTGGTGGTGGATAACGAAGTGATAAGCAGTGAGGACTCACTGTTTTTGCAGAGGAAAAATATATATCTGAAATATGTCATTAAGGATTTGAACAAATACATCCTACTTGCTCTTTCAGGCTGTGACGGAGGGCATTGCCTTTGGTAAATGAATCATGCTAACTTGAGGCTAAAAAGGGCAAATATGGCACGACGGAATACTGTTATTCATAATGCATCTGTGTGTCCCCGTCCGTCCTTGGCTCAGGCTACAGCCAAGACTCTGGCCCAGCAGGAGGAGCAGCTGAAGAAGTTGGAGACCATCAGTACTCTGCAAGAAACCACCAGGATGCTGAAAATGGACCGAGACAAACTGCAACAGGAGCTGCAGCAAGCCCAGGCTAAAGTAAGAATCAAGTGTTGCACCTCATGGTTCGTCCTGTGTCTCCCTTTTTCTCGTGGTCAGCTGTGGCTAAATTTAATTTGTATTACTTTTGTGGTTATCAGAGAATCTGTCCATGCTGAACAGCTTCTTGGTCCCTGAACATCTCTCTGGCTCAAGTTCCTTAAATAGCAAGAGTGTTTGCTCGTATCGGTTTGTAAGGTTGGAACTAGACGAGCAAACCTTTTAATCTATATCGTTAAAGGGACAGTTCACCACAAAACTGAAAATACACATTTTTCCTCTTACCTTGTAGTGCTATTTATAACTCGACATAGTTTTGGTGCGAGTTGCTGAATGTTAGAGGTATCGGCCGTAGAGATGTCTGCCTTCTCTCCAGTGTAATGGCACTAGATGGCATTCAGCTTGTGGCGCTCAACAGCAACGTCTCTTTCTAGAAATCATGACCCGGTTACTCGAGATAATCCACAGACCTTGTAGTGAGCAGTTTCATGTAGGAACTATTTACTTTCTACCGAACTACACCTGCAAACAGTATCACCATGAAGAAGGAAGCGTGCATCTACTCAAGGACTGGAGGCTCATGCACGTGACGGCGCCAGATGTAAACTTTAATGGTTAGCTAGCTCAGTGGTGCTGATGCCATCAGGTGATAATGGCCCAGTGCAGTTTACCTCTCAAATGCAGCCCTATTTTGAATTTAATCATAACAATAATGTTTGCTTTTACAGTAAAACGTCTCGCTAGTGATGTGTTGTATATTCGTAAGGCAGGTTGGACAATTATTAGTGTCGAGTTCCTCAGTCACCTTGTCTTTCATCTGGAGAGCTATTCTCTTTTCTGCATCACACCACCTCCACCACTGGGTGAAGCTGCAGCTGCTCTTAAACTTGAGTGAAGCTCACATCTGTCTCTCTCTGTCAGGTTACTAAGCTCCAGGCAGACATCAGCCCACTACATCACTCTATGTCCATGCTGTCTGAGAAAAATGGCTCCCTGCAGGCTGATAGGAGGATACTGGAGGAAGACCTGAAACGTTGGAAGGCCAAAACACAGGTAACTGCGTGTTTAACGTCCGACCGTCCCATCGCTACTGCACAGTCTTCTCTACAAATTTCTACAGTTAGTATTTGAGTTTGTCTTTAACTCGACTGACTGTCCCTCCACAGCAACTGGTCAGCCAACAGAAAGACGGCGACGTTGAGGAGCGACAGAAAGTCACCACTGAGCGAGAAGCTCAGCAAAGACGCATCACACAGCTGGCTGAAGAGACGGCCAAGCTGAAGACTGAACTGGCGAGGTAGAGCAGCCCACTGAGACCACGCACACACACACCATCAGCCTGGATGCAACAACAACATAAAGACTGACAAACCATTGAAATATCCTGGTTTTACCTCGGCCTGTCCTGGACCAGAGAAATTCTTAGTTGAACAGCACGACTAATTGATAAGTTGATTTAATCGACAAACTGAGTTTCTCCACGAAGAATCGCACAAAAGCACCACTGAAAATCTTGTCTTTAACAGAGATGTGCTCGTGTTTCTTGGAAATGCGTCATAAAGCATGAAAAAAGTCAACTGAGACCAAAACAACCGATAGGTCGACTAAGAGTGGGCAGCACTAGTTTTTACAAAACACAAAGTAACTGTATGCCACGACACTATATGGTCATTGTAGCTAAAACATGAAACTAACAAAATGATGGGGGAGGGGGTTAATATTCACAGTAAGTAAAAAATAGAGAAGAAAAAAACCTGGAAAATTGTGTTGTTTTGGTTTGTTGAGGAACCACATCGGTTTGGTCAACCTCATCACACCACACAGAACACTGCAATATTTATTATAATTATTAATATTAGTAAATAATTATTTTATTATTATATGTATTTTTTTACCTACAATGGCCCTGATACACCGTGTTTATTTGGGTCTCATATCTGTGGTCCATGTCCTGTGGTTTGTAACGAACCTAACCCTGCTGTGTGTGTGCGCATCAGAACCAGCGTCAGCAGTAACTCGGCTCAGTCTCAGCTGCAGGCCTTCAGAGACTCTGTGGCCCATCTGACGTCGGAGAGAGACGCTCTGAAGAAAGACATAGAAACGAAAAACAAGGACATTCTGGAGAAGAACAAGACCATCACCCAGGTTAAGAAGATCGGACGACGCTACAAGACTCAGTACGACGAGCTCAAAGCGCAGCACGACAAGGTGGGACTGCAGTCACACATGTTTAAAGACTTAAAGTAGACAAGAAGTTTAGTGGGGATGAAAATTGTAATAATGAGCTTTGTGTGTGTGTCTTGTGTGCTGCAGCTGGTTGAGGAAACTGCTGCTAAAGCAGGAAGTGAGGCGGGACCGAGCCCGGCGGAGCAGCAGGAAGTGACTAAAGCCAAGGAGGAGCTCAAAAAGACTGTAGAGGAGCTGAGCGCACTGAAAGAGGAGGCGCGGGAAAAGCTGGAGGAGGTGAGCAGGAAGACATTTTAGGCCTTCAACATCAAATGATAGATCAACAGGCCGGTGTAAAAGTCTGTACACTCTCGCTCGCAGCTGAATGAAGGGGCCGTCTTTAAGGTGGAGGGTACAAACACATACAGTGGCAAGCTTCTGACGAACTTCCCTCTCTCAAGGAAACTTTAATTACATATCAGAATCAGAAACACTTTATTGATCTCCGAAGGGGAAATGGGGTTACATTACAGTTGCTGCCATTCTAGAAAATAAATATATAATGTAGAGAAATTATAAGAAAAAATAGAAATAAATACACGTCATGACCACGCCTACTCAGGAGACAGGATGTGTACACTACTTCAAACCATTGTCGGAGCTTGTGATGCGTCATCTTTGATATTGAGCATCTTTCGGTTCTCTGGTTGAGTCAGCATTGATGTAGACTCTCTGTTTTACAAGCTGGTTCCTTGTAGTCCAAACGCAATGAGTTCCTCAAAAGGTTCCTAGTCCCTGGGGAAAGATCCGGCAGTGGAAAATGGACTTTAGTAACGTGCTCTTATCCTATCGTCGATACATAAGAACACATATCTCAGGATTTTGTTGGACTACAATACATCAAATACATACAAACATGGCTTTAGTTTAATTGTCAGAAAGTGTCAGTAGATTTTATTTTTGTGATATTTTCCTCTTAACCAGGCCCAGAAGACCCAGCAGGAGCTGGAGGAGGCCAAGAAGGAAATCCAGCAGAGCAAGGATAAGTTCCAGGAGGTCCAAAACCAGCTGACGCAGAAACAGAACCAGCTGACACAGGTCCTTGAGCTTATTCGAGTTATTAAACTATGATTAAGTCTGTATATTGCCAAGGATTTAGAGAGGTTTAGGTGGCAAAAACAGCAGTGTGGAAGGTTTCATAGCGGGTTAAAGGGGGACAGAGAACAGTACATATAGCTAGCTCATCATTTAGTGAGGAATATACATGAGACGGGCAGAAATCACAGGATTCATTGTCACATCTTTGCGGCTATAGGTCCAGTCCCAGTTGTCCCAGATCCAGACTCAACTGCAGCAGAATCAGAACCAGCTGACCCAGAGTCAGAAGGAGCTTCAGCAAGCCAAGACCCACAGCCAGCAGGTAAGAAGAGGCGCAGAACAAGGACACAGATACACCTGACACAAAGCTACTCACTGCATTTACAGCAAACATTCTGTTTATTTGTAATGTCGTAGCGACATCAGACCCATGCTACCAGCCTAATCTCCTCCTCTGGTTTAAAGGTACAGAACCAGCTGAAATCAGCTCAGTCTCAATCCCAGGCCCGTCAGAACCAGATTCAGCAGATCCAGAGGGAGCTCCAGCAGGCTAAAGAGGCCCTTCAGCAGAACCTCGCCAATCAGAAAGAGCTACAGCAGACCCACCAGAGCAGTCGGCAGAGCCACAACCAGGAAGTCAGCAACCTCAAGATGGCGCTCAGCCAAGCAGAGAGCAAGGTGCGTGTCTTTGGGATGTTTTTTTGTTTTTGTTTCAATATTTACTTATATTTATACATATACATTCTTGCATTTAGATGGCATTTATAGTTCTGTCTCATACACTGTAGGAGGCACTGCTCATGTTTTGACAGATTTTCAATGGAAAACACAGCAGTTACCTCAGCATCCTTCAGTGAAGAGCGACTCTTTCCAAACAGCCATTCAAATGTAGTCGCTGATGCAAAGTGCACGTGCTGTGACTCATCTTTGAATCAAAGTGAAAAATAGTTGAATGCCTTTACATCTCTATAAACCCTGTCCTAGTGCTGCAACAACCCAAATTCAGTCTCTCTTATCTTATGTTAAAAATTGACCGTTGACGGTGTAAGATGTTAACTCTGTTCCCAAACATAGCAGCAAACTTTGTTATTCAAGCTGCACACATTCTGTTTGCATTTCTCTCTAGCATATTTAATAAATACTTGTTTAAGTCATAATGCGGCTGCACATAGAAGCAAGCTACCGAACAAAAATGTCTTTTCTTTTTGGCAAAAAGTTGCTGCTGTTTCATTTAAACCAGTTTTTTTTGTGCAATATTCAAACTAATAAGCAGTGTGTCTGTGCTTACCTCATAACAGGTGACTGAAATTCAGGGCCGCCTGGACAGCCAGCAGAAGGTGGGGAAAAGTGTTTTAACTAGCAGTCCAATGATTTCTGTTATGTGTTGATAAATCAGCACTGTTGCATTTAAAGACCTTTTTTAATTCCATAACGTCTCCCGTACTCTATGAATCCTCTTTGTCAGCTGGTTGGCGAGCGTGAGGCAGACATCAAGCGTCTGCAGGAGCAGGTAACGGAGGCTAACCAGGCTAATGAAGCTAGCCGGGTCACGCCGGCTAACCAGAGCCAGAGTTCCCAGTCCAACCAGCCCGGCGACGCTAACGCTGCTAGTGACGCTAACCAGGCGCTCCAAGAGGAGCTGGCAAAACTCAGAGAAGAGGTGCTCCCAAATCCCCAAATCATTTTAAATCAAACTGTTGTTATTTTCTCTATTGACACCCTTACGTTCTCGCTATTTAACAGTAAAGAGCGATGAGCCAGTACTGTGCAGTCTGTTCTAACACTCTGTTGTTCCCACTGCAGCTGTCTGAGAGCAAGAACACAGAGGAGCAGCTCAGAAAGCAGATCGCTGAAAAAGAGGAGAAGACTAAGAAGGTCTTCATGGGAGCCAAGACCAAAATCAACCAACTAAACGGTGAGTTAACTTATGCTCGGAGATTGAAAACATGCTGATGAAGGACAGCTGAACAAAGAAGCTACATTAGCCGAAGAGGAACTTGAGTTTTACATTTTAACCCGTAGGTGCTAAGGAGCAGCTGAGTCGGGAGATAGAGGAGGTGAAACAGAGCAAGGAGGAGCTGGAGGTGAGAATGAGCGCCCTCAAGTCTCAGTACGAAGGACGAATTCTTCGGCTGGACAGAGAGCTGAGGGAGCTGAGAGAGACCCAAGCACAGTCGGAGCCCAGAGAGGAGCCACAGGACCCGAGTGGAGCAAAGGTAGGGGACATGGAGGCCGCAGAGCTTTTCATCAGATCACTTTGTCTCACCAAAAGTGTGTGTGTGTGTGTGGGCTTGTGGGCGGGTGACACGGCGAGGATTTCAGTTTCTGGTTCATTCAAGCCAAACACAACTGTGAGGAAACACACATGTTATCCAAGCAACCTATCTTTATTAAGATATTATGACTTTTTCCAAACTATTATGTCTTTTTTTCTAGTATAAGAATTTATTTGTTTTCCTTCTCCAAACTATTATAAACTGTTTTTTTTCTACATGTTTTTTTTCTACATGTTTATTGAGTTTTTTTTCCCTCAAAACTATTTAGATTTTATTCCCCAAAAATGATGACTTTTTCCTCAAAATATTATTTAAGAAAATTCAAAATATTTCTTCTTGAAATATGACTACTTTTTGCTCGTTACATCATGGCTTAATTCTGTAACTCGAATAGCTCTGTGTTACAATGTCCACTTTTTACAAACCTGTATCTGTACTTAGGGGGGGAGTGATCAGGCCAGATCTGCAGACCAGAGACAGATATCTCTGAAGAGTCCTGCCCAGGACAGAGGAAGGTAACTAATGGAGACATACACACATGCACAAACACCAGACACTCTTGTGAATACTTATAAACACAGATATTATTTAAAAAGTAGTCGGAGCCAGATTAAAATGGCTCAATTATGAGTTATAAGAGCTTAAAGTTGTTCACAGCTAAATAGAAAAACTGTAATACCAACTTGTCCGTCAGCTCCAGCCTGTCTGATCCTCCCACTGCCAACATCCGCCCCACCACAAGCACTCCGTCTCCGAGCAGCAAGCCTAGCCCCTCCCCTGGCAGCAAGGCCACACCCCGGGCCAGCATCCGGCCAATGGTTACCCCGGCAACCGTCCCCGTCCCAACACCTACTGCCACGGTCATGCCGACCACACAGACTGACAGCCAAGAGGGTGAGGGCAAGAGATGAAAAGAAACAGAAAATAATAGTATAAGATAGTAGATTCTAGTTGGTGATGGTTGAATGTTACTTTAAAGTGTAATACAACGTTTCAAAACCCCCTCCACAGCGCTGATGAGTTCGGGAGCCTCTGTACACTCCACCAGCTCCAGTCTGGTGAACACGTCAATAACTCAGCCAACCAGCACCCAGGCCACAGCATTTGTCCAGCCCACCCAGCAGCAGGCAGCCAATCAGGACGCAGGCCCCAGTATGGAGGCAGAGCGACCGTCCACTTCGTCATCCCTGAGTGGAACAGGTGAGCAGGACCTCGTCCCAAACTCACCAGCAACTCAGCAACTGTACAGATAACCATTAATCACACAAACGGGAAAGAAGATGTCCGACTGGCTATCAGCTGAACAGTTTAACTCTGTTAACTGATATCCTAGTGTGTGTGTGTGTGTGTGTGTGTGTGTGTGTGTGTGTGTGTGTGTGTGTGTGTGTTTAAAGTAGCTTCAAAGCGAGGCAGAGAGGAAGAGGACGAGGAAGAGGAGAGCAGACCAGAGAGTTCACACAACCCTCCGACCATGAAAAAACTAAGACTAAAACCATCGATAGCACTGCAGGTAAACACACACAGACTGCCTGTTAATCTTCTATATGTATGTGTGTGTATATGTATGTATGTGTGTATGTATGTATATATTGCGATAATGTGTTTTTTGACAGAAAAGCAGTGAAAATATTCTAAATATAGCATACATTTAAAGTAATGTGATAATGTTTTCAGGTGTCTAAAATACGTCCACAGCAGTACATTACTTTGCTCCTGTCTGTTTCTATAAACTCCATCTACTGTAGTGAAACACTGACTATGGAGAAGAACCTCATACAAACACACCTTAAAAAAAAGCCAAACTATCCCTTTAAGGTTGCATCAAGCATAAATCTGACGTTTAGCCTCTAAAAGCTCAATTCAACAGTTGCACGACCGGCAGTAGTGTAACACAAATTCAGGAATATTGTTGTCTCAGGAAGAAAGTCAAGATGCATCACTAAAGGAGCTGCTGAACCAACTTCTGTTTTTTGACAATCGTCCAATGCATTCATTATTAACGTATAAACTGTGTTACACATGGTCTGTAATTTGTCGTGTTTCAGATTGAATGTGATGAGGAGATTGAAGGAGAGCTGAGGGATGAAGGAGAACGACAGGATTCACCAGACGACAGTCAGGTCAGTCACCAATGACAAATTGAAGATATCAATTCTAGCTTTTTATTTGACTACTCTGTTGTATTTCTTACCTGTTTGCAATCCACAACCTCCACTAAAAGTGTTCCTGGTTACCAGACTGAAGCTCCATATGTGATAGATGAACATGTAAATTCAAGCATGGGGCTGACTGAAGTAGACAAAGAGAGTAGACTTACTTTTGGCAATATAGTGTTCTCAAACATTTGAAGTAGATATCAAGCTTTAAAGGGTAATTTATTTTCAACCTGGACCCTATATTCCCATGTTTGTGTGTCAAAGGAACATCATCATTTTTTAAATTTGTCCGGTATTGAGGGAGAACTCTGCAACGTGCTGTAATGTAATCCATCAATATACGACCACTAAGTGCTTGTTTTTGCAACAGACGGGCTCAGATTCCAGGTGTCTGACAACATTATGGAGAGAATCCTACAGAGAAATAGGTTTGATCTGTCTGTTTGTTATTGGGTGTCCTCTTCAGAGAAGTCTTGTTCTGAAATCTTCCGTCGCATCCGCATTGTTGAAATCAGCTAAATATTTATCCACGACATTGACAATCTTTAAAAAAAAAGGGTTGGGGTTAGAAAGACCAGCGCTACATGGACTAAAAATCACGAGATCATCTGCATACATAATGTGGTTAACCAGAGTATTCCCAATCATGCACCAGTATTACAGGCTTTCAATTTCTTGGACAGATCATCAATATATAGATTAAACAGATCTTGTCGGACACCATTGTTAACCCCAAATGGGGCTGAGACACTTCTACCCCATTTTACTTGTGTAGTCTGGTGAGCATACCAGTAAGCCAGACTTCTCACAATGTATATGGGGACACCTCTTTGGCTCAGTTTGAAAAACAACTTTCTATGATTAACACGATCAAAAGCTTTCGAGGCATCAATAAAACACATAAGAACTGATGAGTTTTTACGTCTGTATTTGTTGACTACTTCCTTTAAGGCATATATACACAAGTCAGTGCCATGTTTGGCTTTAAAACCCAACTGGTTCTCTGTGGAGTTAATAAACTCATATAGTCTGTCCAGCAGGATTCTTTCTCTGACTTTTGACAGTACGCTGGCAAAGCAATAGGCCTGTAATTACCTAGTCTTTAATGACGGGCACTAAGAGAACAGTAACAAGCCATGAACCATGAAGCCAGTAAAACAAATGGTTCTAGTCAGTGTAGTAGTAGATGACTATTCCACAAACATTTAACGTAAGTCAATAGCTGTAGTGGTTGAGATTAGAATGTAGTGACGAGGATCTGAAGACGATACTCAATAACGGGTTCACGTTTGGGCTGCAGGAACTTCCAGAGGATTGTTTCCCCGTGTTGGCCGAAGAGGACGAGGACATCGAGGAAGAAGTCGTGTCCCAGTCTGTCCCCTTTGATCTGATGTCCTCTGAGGCCTCCAGCATCGTTCGGGATGTCATCGTGATCGACACGGACAGCGAGAGCCACGAGAGCAAAGAGGGGGAGGAGCAGCAGGAGGGCGAAGGTGAAGAGGAAGAGGAAGAGGAAGATGAGGAGGAGGAGGAGGAGGAGGAGGAGGAGGAGGAGGAGGAGGAGGAAGAAGATGACGACGACGACGACGGGGTGCTGTTCTGCTTATTAACGCATTATAAAAATATTTTCAGGCTTAATCTATTGTCTGGAGTTATTAACATCGCATTCTGTATCTGCCTCAGTACAAGGAGGAGGTGGATGGCGATGAAGACGAGGATGATGCTGGCGACAGCGGGATGAGGGGAGGAGAGGAGGACAACGAGGAGAGCAGGGAGGCAGAGCAGGAGGGAGGGCAGTGCGAGCCGTCGGAGGCCTCCAACCCCGAGGAGACTGCGTGCGGAGCGTCCTCCGACTCGCAGCGTCCCTCTGAGGCGTCACACAGCAGTGAGCCCTTCCTGTCACCTCTGACTCATGTAGCTCCTCCTTTTGAAATCTTCTAACGTGAATCCCTCTTGTCTTACTAGATGAGGGCAGCAGTGACGCCACGTCGGAGTCCGACACCCCCAGAGACCACGTACACTTCCCCCCGACCTCCTCTGCACCCTCCCCCTCCCTCATGCCCCGCCTCCCCCACCCACGTAGGCCCCCGCACCCCCTCCCACCACGGCTCTACATTCAACCACCGGCTCCGGAGCTGGGACCCCCGCACACACAGGTGCACACACACACACACACACACATACTCCAAAAAATGAAATCGGATTTATTCTTGGCTGTAGCTTTATCACACAAGATATCCCAGATATAATCCAAATATGATGTTATTTGTTGGAACTAGCTTACGTAATCACACTTCATATTTTGTTTTACAGGAAGAAAATGTATTTATTTTTTTCATATATTGTGAAATAGGTACACAATATGACAGCAAAAGTTATGTAAAATGGTTAAATGGGCATCTAATCTCGACTTTAAAGCCTGGGTTGGTAATCTTGAGAAACGTATCGGACATTATCCAACTGGAATGACATGAACAATGGTCCAAGGCTGGAACCGAAGCTGTTGCAGCATGCGCTGTAACCACTCGGCTACGAAGGCGCTCCAACATGGTGTCTTTAAACATGTTGAAGAAGAGTTTCGTCAAGATCAGTGGTTCCTGACCTTTTTCCCTTGATGCCCCCTAACTTGTATCGAAGAAAAGTCCCCTCCCCCTCTATTTTCTGACATCACCCCAAAACAAATTACAAATCTATGAACAAAAACCTCAATTTCAATGAAGTGGTTCCGATCTCCTCTGACCATGATGACGTGTGTTTGTTCATCAGAGACAGTCCTCTCAGCTGCGCAGACCATCAGTAGGACGCGGACCTCAACTGACTCCTGGAATAGGCAGTATGGTAAGAGATGGAGTGTGGATCACATGTACTGTTACATCTTTGTATTATTGGTCTACAAAGGATCGTGTGTGAAGCGCGTGCTGTAGATAGATCTGCAGTGAGTTTGTGTTGTGTGTGTGTGTGTGTGTGTGTGTGTGTGTGTGTTGCAGCAACATTTCTTTGATGATGACGACAGAATGGTTCCCAGTACTCCCACTCTGGTGGTCCCACACCGCACTGATGGCTTTGCTGAGGCTATACAGTAAGATCTACACACACACTCACACACACACAGACTATAGTATAAAAAATATACACCCCTGGAACACTTGGTGCTCATTTAAACCCTTGAATATCATTAAATAGACGGGTGTGTTTGATTCTGTGTGAATGTTTGAGAATATCAGGGGGTTCTTATGGTCTAAATGTTTGCATCCAAAAGTTGTTGTTGGGATACGATAGAGACCGTGCTTATACACACACGTGTCTGAGATAGTTAGCTAAACCGGTATATGTGTGTGTGTGTGTGGGGGCCTATCACCCTCGTCCAATGAGCTCTCAGTGTTGGGTTTTGGTTGAAAAGATCACACGTAGGTGCGACTTAACGTCTCCCAGGGGGTTGTTGTGAATCTTAACTCAAATCAGGCTGCTGGCTATCCTGCAGTCTTTGTTCTAATAAGCTCATAGTGAGGCCCCAACACTGCAAGAAAACACTGGACAGCATATTTCACAGTAAAGAGTCCTCAGGAAGTTCCTGGTGATGGAAAATAAAGACCAAAATGTGGGAGTAATTAAGAATGAGCTTCTTGCTTTATCCTTCTAACAGGTTTAACTAGAGTGCACCTCATGCTGCATTTTAAGACTTCCCCAGATCTTTGTATCTTTGTTTTTAATCATATTTCTACCTACTAACTACATTGACTCTAAATGGACCACAATGTACTAAATTAACATCATGCTGTATTGAAGACGACTTGAAACTAGAGATTGAGACCATAAACTCATGTTTACAATGTTTTCTCTTGGGAAATCAAGAGAGAAGTAGTCATTTTCTCATAGACTTCTATACAACCAGAGGAGTTGCCCCCTGATGGACACTAGAGAGAATGCAGCTTTAAGACATGAAGCATCGGCTTCACTTTTCAGGACCGTGGGTTGCCCCCTCTGGGTTTACCTCATTTGAAAAGCAACTAGAAACTCTATGAAAACAAATGTTGACCTCTGTTATGGACTGTTTGGATAATCTTGGACGAATGCATGAACTGTGACTCTCACACGTCTGTCTTTCACCTCCTCAGTTCTCCTCAGGTAGCAGGGCTGTCCACCAGGTTCAGGTTTGGACCTCCAGAAGACCTGCTGCCTCAGACATCGGCCTCACACTCTGACCTGGGACAGCTGGCCTCTCAAGGAGGTACTACACACACACACACACACACACACACACACACACACACACACACACAGAACACCTGAACTAATCTGAAACAGTGACATTCATTCTTTAACACTTCATCCTGTCCGCCTTCCTACCGCTGTGTGTGAAGGTCTGGGGATGTATGAGTCCCCGCTGTTCCTGGCTGCTCACGATGAAGATGGAGGAGGAAGGAGTGTCCCCACCACACCCTTACAAGTGGCTGCACCAGGTGAGACACAGACACACACACACACACACAGAACATTATGACAGTTCATTGTGTATGGCTTTAAAGTCCAAGTGCTACATCACGACTCTCCATCTCCGTCAGTGACGGTCTTCACGGAGTCTCTGCCCTCAGACGGTGCCGACAACATGGCGTCCCAGTCGGTTCCCATGGTAACCACCTCCACAGGGATGGCTTCTGCTGCAGATGATGGAGATGAAGTGTTCATGGAGCAGGAGGGAGAGGGGTGAGCAGCTTCTTAACGTGTAGACCTGAGGTGTCTTCTAAATAGACAGCTGATATGAGAGGAGCAGAGGTGTGACCGTTTCCTAATGGTCAGATGTAATTGTGGTAAAAAGATTTTGTACCATTCGGCTGTAAACTACGGAAGCCCTGAGCGGTCAGTGAGGAAGATAAATTCTGGTGATCCTTTGTCTAGGTCTGGTCTGAATTGTTTTCTTTCCTTTGTTGATGACTTAAGAACAAGGTGAAGAAAAACCGTTAGCCATGATATTCTTTCTAAGTTCTTTAATTTTTAATTTTCAGAAGAAACAGGTATTTGTTGTTGTAAAATTTGTATCGGCCACAAAAGGCTGAAGTGTTCAACTGCTCCATGGTCTACATAGGACTAAAATAATGATTTTCTTTCAGGTGAGTTTTAATCACTCCATGCACTCTAAAGTCATTATTCATATATTATGTGAGAGCAAGTTATGTAACGTTTATGTCATGGGTTTATTTTGGCCTTGACATGTATTTTATTTGGCACTAATCTGTCGTTGGGTACAACATGAATGCTTGTAGTTCCATTTAGAGCTTGGAGTAGAGCTGCACTTTAGCCCCCTGTAGCCATAATAAGATTTACAACAACAAACACAATAATGATCCAGACGGCTGTTCTTAAGTCGACACAAGAGAAAACACAATTTATCAGATTTTGAAAATAGATCACTGGATTTTTTTTTTTTTTTTCACTTTTCTACGAGCACTGTATTTGTGTTTTCCAGTCTTGGTATTGAATCCTCTTTGGAGAGCCAAACAGACATGGAGCCGACAGGACAGCAGAGTGATGATGCATCACTGCCGTCTACCAGCCAGGACGCTGGTGAGTGATGCTCTTGACTGACCGTGCCCTGAACCCGAACAACCCTCCGTTATCGGGCCTGTAACAGACCGGCGCTGACTTCTCATAGTTTAACACAACACAACCTTTCACTTGTTTTGGTTGTCATGGTTTGAGATGAAATAGGGCTGCAGAAAATATTCTGCATATTAAAATGTTTTCATCGCAAAAATAAATTGTAACTACAGGCAGCAACCAACTTTGGTTGCTGCTGCGACACTGTTTTCAGGATTTAGGACAACTACATAAAATTCTATGTATCAAATATTTATTCCATCCATAGGTAAAAACCACAGCATTTTGTTCAGAGAGGGATGACTTCAACTACAGGAATCCTCTTAGCTTCTTATCATAGCATGTTGAGAAGAAGCAGATGAGCGGGGGAGCTGTGGAGGAGCGGGGCCCTGCAGCCAGCTACCGTTAGCACGGCTAACGCTACCGCTAGCTTGGTTAGCAAGCAAGACGCATCCATAATTCACGTTAACTGTGCTGTTGATTAGGATCCTGATTTTGGCTAGTGATGAACTTAAAACTTATCGTATCATTACCATAAACAAAAGAAATTAACAGCCGACTTTTACTACAACCGAACGCTGAACAAGTCCACCAACATGTTACAATTAACTTTAATGAACTGTGAAAGGGTCAAAGTTGTAAGACAATCCTGCTGAATTCCTCGGCTTACCGCCGGTCACATTTGTGTTTTATCTGCCTCTCTTTGTCCTCGTAGACGTGACGGATGTAAGCAGCGTGCTGTGTTCTTATGCATAGCATGTCCTCGTGTGATGAGCTTGTGTTCTGTCACTGAAAGTCTAAAACTCTTCATTCATAGACACCAGCAGCGCCACTCAGCGGCGCACCGTGCCCAGTCTGATGAGCAGCCTGCCGGGCAGAGGAACCAGGGGAGGGAGGAACGAGGCCAGGACGTTCCTCAGCCGCAGAGGTGAGAGACTAAAGCAGCCCTGGAGGTGTGGTAGTTAAGGTGATGCAGGGCTCTTAAGACCCGCTTCTTCCAGAATAAACTTCAGTCACTCAAAGGGTAATGATGAAGCTGTTTATTGAAGTGCAATAAGCAGAGAGCAGCATAAACACAGAAGTGATGGGGATAATATCACGAGCAGTGATGATGTGGAATCAAGCGGATCGTCTCTGTCATCAATGCTAATCTGCTGTATCCTCACTTTGTGCTTACAGGCACTTTCTTTCGGGGAGGAAGGGGAGGAGCCATGGGCAGAGGGAGCTTCGCCTGATGATGATGTCACCAGTATCAACTCGGCCGAATGAAAAGACGATGCTTATGTTCCCACGTTATTTTATTTTTGTTGTTGAATTTTGAGATAGTCAATCAAAAATCAATAACCCTGATATTACACGTGTGTGTGTTACTTTCTCTGACATGTTCTATGGACACATTGTTTGTGAGAGTTTTTAGTTTTGTCATTTTTTGTTTATCATTCATCTATGAGAGCGTTGTCATTTTGTTGGTAACTTCGTATTGCTCCACTTTTGTGCTGTTGATACACTTGTTTTATCAATAAAGTTGAATGATGAGTATCAGCGAATATGCGTGCTTTGTATAATTAGTCCAGTGAGTCTGAGTGGACCGAGAGGACAAACAGCCAGGGCTTTTCAATTAGCAGTGCAAGGATGTGGCATTACAGCCATATCTTAGTTAGGTTTTATATTATTGTTCATTATTTTTGAAAATCTTCCAAATGAATAAATTCTACCCACTACACAGCCATGGGAAGTGAAACGCTTTTACTCTAGCAGAAGTTATCTCTTATGTGTCTAAATTTGTGTTGACATAGTTATAAATTCATGGAAGTAAATTTTTGGAACAAAGAAAAATAGTAAGTTGTTGCTTATTGCTCAGTAGACATATTTCCTGAGTAGAATTTGTCGTGCTGAGACAGAAAACACCAGAAGCTCTTGTCTTCTAGGGACAGCGTAGCCAGACTCTGATGGAGTTGGCCGGCAGGGGAGCGTTGGCATTTTGAGCGGCCACGCTGGTTACCACGGTGACGGGGCTGAGGATGGGCACGAGGGCTGCAGACGGGTGAGGTTTGGTCAGTGCTGGCAGGTCACCTGAAATCTGGACACTGAAGAAGAAAGCTGCGGGGAAGACAAGACCACCAACCTCAGAAACACATGTATGTATGTATGTATGTATGTGTATGTATGTATATGTATATATGTATATGTATGTATGTATGTATATGTATATGTATGTATATGTATATATATATGTATATGTATGTGTATATATATATATATGTATATGTATGTGTATATATATATATGTATATGT